TTCAATCTCGTTTAACGTTTAAAGCGACATATCAATGACTGCAACCATCGTGTTGCATACAAACCTCGCAAACTTTTTTGAAACACGTTCTCTAGTGATACCTGCGAAAGTATTCAGTATAATTTCCGGTAAGATTTTCGCGGACAATCTGATCGATTTCTCTTACATTGTGTGCTAAGATTGAAACTTTTCACCTCAAGCAAATCTGCGTCGCACAGTCTAAACAAACATAGTGAACAACTGAGCTACTAGTATATGTCCGTGTTAAAAAACAAGAAAGGATTCTAAAGCACACTTCACTCTGATTGGGCAGAAAAACACAAAGATTTTCTGGCACCAATCAGATGGCAGAACGACTTCGACCGTTTGGAACTAGTCTTGTAAGACAATTTCCCCAGGGGCTCTTCATGCCCTAACTTGAAATCGACCTACAGCCCCCGGGTCTACGAGGATGCTGAAACACTTTCTCAGACAGGAACACTTAAGCACTTCATACCCCCTGTTTCCAGTCCTCTCTCGGCCAGCACCATTTTGGAAAAGGGTCTATTCATATAGAAGGTGAACTCCTGTAAACAAATCAAAGGCTCCTTAGAGCAACCTCGTGGTATGAATTTTTGGCGCCCTTGACGTAACCTGCGATCTGGCTTTCTTAACTTTGGAAAGATTTTTTGATCGTGGGCAACACGTGCTGGCACAATTATTGTGTTTGTAAGTGTTTTGATGGAGAAAAAGTCTTAAATTGCCAATGTGTGAAGAATTAGTTAAGATACCAGCAGCTACAAGATAAAATCGACTAAGTTTCACGCTTACCAATTTGCAGTAAGCTTAAGCTCACTTCATAGTCGCGGTGTTTGGGTCTTCACGCACGAATCGTTCATGTTATCGTCACTTTTAGGACTCAGGCGTTCACTTCTCTGCAGTCGAGTATTCTGTAACATATTTTCTTTCCATTTTTGGCTCCACAAAGGTATGTTTTGATCAAGTTTGGAATAAAAAATACCATCAGGCTTCAAGGGAATGGACGCCATTTTGAATCTGTCCAAGTAGTTCGCCATATTCTCGCCTTTGTACCACCCCTTACATATGCGTACACCGTGACTTGGAACAGGGAAACTTGTCAGGGAGGGGGAAAAAAGTGTTTAATCCAGGTTTAATGCATAAATTAATGTCTAACAAAGTGAGTGAGTGATTTTTAATTGAATTTCGCCCCCAAACCCTAAACCTCATAGCATGACTTACGTCACACCATGAGGTAAAAAGGGGGAAAAAACTGTTTTTGTTATCATTCTGGGGTTGTGTACCTCGTTAAAAGTCTACAGACTGCACTTTGTACGTGTTCTGCAGTCAGTATCCAGTATCTTGTAGGTCCTTGTACTGACTGTAGTAAGAGACAGCACTTAGGGCGCTGTTTTGTGTGAAACCTCAGCTAAACTCAGGGCGATGAGCACCGAATTCAGCAAGGCACTGGCGGGCGAAGGCCATTTGCCGTATATTGACTGTTAGTTCTTCAACTAGCAATTTGCCCGACTGAAGTTTACTGCCGATTCAAATGAAAGGGTTGACACGAAAGGATCGGTAAACGAGCACTTCAAAGTCAAAACCAGATGACTCATATAACATGTGGAAAAATACTCGCATAATGGCACTCAACCTACAAGGAAACTCGAATGGGATATATCACACATAGTCTAAACAAAGACCAAAACCGAACTTAATACATTTTCTTATCATTAAAAATTAAAAATAGCATGAACGAGACGTAGCACCTATTTTTTTTTTCTCTTTTTTTATGATGACTTCCTTTTCCCTTTCTAGGTGGGGTATTCAGATGTGATCTGCGAGCCAACAGCAATTGCCATCCCAGAGAGGCTTCATCAGTTTATCAAAACTATTTATGGTAGCACTATCTGTGTCACATACTGGTTGCTGACCATCGTGTTCGGCGGCTTTTTGTCCTTTATCTATGGACTACTCTTTGGAGTCCTAAACTTTTCTATGATTTGGGTGGCAACTCCAATTACTCGTGCCTCGTTTATCCCAATGCGGTTGGCTGGTAAAATCTGGCTCAATATTATAGAATGTGTCTTCGATCCTTGGCACGATTCAATTGGGAGGATCTTCTCGCGAATCAAGATTAACTTCAAAAACACAACTATTCAACATGTGTAGTTACCTATCTCTTTTGTATTACTTTGAATGAACTGTAACCTAAGCACGAAAGCTAGCACGAAAAAAACCTTGTTAAGATTATTAGGAGACCAACTGTTTTACACTTTACCTTATAGCATTTCTAACCCAAACCTTATGAGCTGATCTTGAAATAAACTTCCAAAATTGTCATACTGCTAAGTGTCTAGACTGACAATGGGAGTAAAACTAGACTAAAATTGAAGAGGTAAGATACAATTGTTTAAAATTCGTAATCCTCAATTAAAAACTAGAGATTCTGATATTCTCGTGCATTTTAATTTGGCAGAGATATTTTTCGCCGAGTTTATGTTTTAGGGGAGATCTCTAGTTTTCAATGAAATATGATTCACTTAAACGCTCTCAATCAATCAAAGAAACTAAACAGGTGATGGTTTTGCCCAAGACAGCTTACAAATGGGCAAACAGTTTAGAGTTATCGTCCGTGAATATCGCATAAAGGTGTGCAAAATGTAAGAAATACATCTTTAGTTTTATTAGAACTTTATTTTACGGCACCAAAAGTAGAAGTAGAGGATTTTTCAAATTCGTAAAATAGGCGGTCGAATTATGTCCCCAAGGGCGTAACCAGGGGGGTCCTGGCGTGCCCGTGACCCCCCGCTTGGTAAGTCTTCTTTAGAGCAAACAACCTACAATATTCAGGTGGCGAAAACACCATGACAATATCTTGGCCGTAAAAGCCACTGATATGGGCCTTCATGCCGCGATAATACGACTGAGCCCGCTGATACACGCGGGAGAGCAGCGATGTAAATGGTGAGTAGCCTCTGTAACCCCCCCCCCCTCTTTGAAAAATCCTGGCTACGCCCCTGGTCCCAGAGTATACGGAAAAGGAGTTTTTCTATCGATGTAACGAGACCATAGTTTTTGGCGAACGTTAGTTTGCTCAAGAGAGGTGTGTTCAGATGAACCCAATTCAGTTTCCACCGTACTTCACCCTTTTACTCTCAAGATCTCATTAGTAAATCTCCTCACAGTCTCCTTTACAATATTTGAGGCGTTCGTGCGGAGAATTTTGGTATTGGTATTCTCATCACTTGTCTACTTGATATTGTATTGATAATGTCAGGAGAATTTCTCTCTTGGTCACTTATAAGAGCTACTGGGTTAAAGTTCGCATGAAGTTGAAATTTGATGTTGGTATCAAGATAGCCCACGCAGTACGTCTTCTCTGTCTCTTCCTTGATCTGCGCTTCGTTCGCTATGCCTCTGCTTAGGCTTCCCCACTAAGCTCCAAGGAAGACAGACAAGAACGTTTCTCAACTTATCGTGAAAAACTAAAGAAAAAGTCCTATTTTCAAATCCATTAATGACCATTGACTACAAACCTATTTGCAGTTACATGAAGAGGTCGGCCTCGTGTAAGGGTAAGGTGAACTTTCTGTAGCCAGCGTGGCCCATTCAGCTACATGGCTGTTATCTAGAGGGACCAAGGTATGAATGTTTCATATAGTGCGTTTTTGACCAAAGGTGAGGTCAAGATGGCTGGACATTGGCCGAGTTTTTTTGTTTCATTTTTAAGGACCAAGACGAAGTCGAGATACAAAAAACAGAAAAAATGAACGAGGCTAATATCAAGCCATCTTGACCGACAAGCTTAGTCAATAAATGATTTAATATATGGCAAAAAGATTTCGCTTTAATAGGAATAAAAAATGACTTATTTCAAGAGCCGAGAAAGAAAGCCAACTACGTTTGTAGCAGAATAAACCCAAAAGGGCTGTTCTCTTTGATTTGACTGTCTTCAGCCGCTTTTTGCGACTTCATCGCCGACATTGTCAAAAAGTTACGACCTTTGTAAGTCCGCTCCATGCACTTTTTTCCTTGCGCGGGATCAAAACGGGCAACCCCGAGCAAGCCAGAAGGGCCCATCTGGCCCGCTAAAGTAGCCAATCAGAATAAAGGATTCGCTTCAAATTTTGCCCACGAACGCTGCCAGCGATACATTAAATTGATTATTATAATGAATGCTGACATATTTTTCCACTTCCTTTCGAGTTTCAACGGAAACCCTCCTCCTCTGCGTTTTACTAGCCAGTGCAACCCTCATTGACTGAGTCATTTAAAGCAATTATTTTGACTCTGAGAGGCGTGATCCCCTCCACAAGAAGATAACAATCGAGCTTAAATGGTTACATCATACACCTGCAGCTTTGTCTCCACTATTTCCAGTCTTCTCGGCACATTCCTCGACAAAAAGCTGCATCTGTGTAAATGGACACATGTTTCAGATGTGAGATAAACTACAAGATCGGTCTATCAAAATCTTAGCGATCTTGGAAAAGGACAACATGACACCAAGACATCACTGATTCCATTTGAGAGATACTAACGAGATTCTTTTGCAAAACAAGAACTAACCAACAAATCATTATCTTGCCTCTGTAGACATTTGCCTGTATTTAACGAACCTGATTTAATTTCAAATTCTGTTCAGGTTTTAGTGTTTTGATAATTGTCTCCCAAACTCTGTCATACATAGCTGACAATACAGGCGTCCTTAGGTCGCCCGCGTTCTTTGTATTTATCCCTGAAATGCTATGCTGCTAAAACTTATGGAAGGAAATTGCCATCTAAATCAAACACATCGACCGTTTCGGTGACCACGAGCGGTAACACGAACTAGCACTCCTTAGTAAGATCCCTTAATTACAGACAAGGAATACAATAGCCATTTTCTCTAGCAGATTTGTGAAATTGAGATAAAAAATTTAAAACGATATGTACGTACGTACATACACAATCATACATGCACGTACGCAATTTGGGTCCTTAATTTTCCGCGAAAATGCACTCCACGTCGTCAAAAAACGCTTACCTTTAGGATTCCAGAAGAAGATGACTTAAGAGGTATGATGACGGATTCCTTCTTTCTCGTTCGTTCGTCTGCTTCAACCCATGGAAATTCCTACATCCATTACAAAGTAAACTATCTATCCATTGAGCTAACCGCCTCCCGGTTACCTCAATGGATAGAGCGCTGGACTGTTGTGCGGGAGGTCGAGGGTTCGAGCCCCGGCCGGACCAACACTCAGGGGCTTAAAATAATTGAGAAGAATTTGCTACCTTTCTATAACATCAAGAAATGGTTAGATATTCTAGTCTTCTCGGATAGGGACGAATAAATGGAGGTCCCGTCTCCTGCAGGCATGGGGRAGGAGACGTTAATTTCCCACACACGAGGTTACTGTGTGATGGATGTCCTCCCCTGGGGTGGGATGGGTGGGAGGGTGGACGAGCACGAATGGTTCGTATGTTCCTTTCTAGTCCCCTTTCCATCAATAGATGAACTCTTAACGGTATCTTTATTATATTCCTAAGCTTATTCTAACCTGTTTGTGGCGCTGATTGTAAATATCGCATTTTCAGCTACTTATGTTGTGTTTTTCTTTCAATAATCTTATTAGGTAAAGCAGGCTTTTCTATGAAAGGCGCGGGTCACCGGCAGGTTACCAGCGGGTTACCGGTGGGTTACCAGCGGGTTACCGGTGGGTTACCAGCGGGTTACCGGTGTGTTACCAGTGGGCTACCGGTAGGTTACCTGCGGGTTACCTGCGGGGTTCTGGTAGGTTACCAGTGAGTTACCGATGGGTTACCGGCGGTCTACCGCCGCCTGTTAGGCTTATCACCATCGCCTGCTTGGCCCACGAGCAGGGTCTCGCCTTACGACACACCCGCTGATTGCACCTTCAGCAGCCGCGTATGGAAAACGTCATTGAAACTCCTGGGTCAATGCAAGGCGAGGCAAAATATACTATCCCGTTTTGATTCTTTTCCCTAGTTCTGACAAACCTGAACTTTGCGATCCTCCTGCAGTTTTACGAACGATGATTCTTTGGTGTATACAAGAATGGAAAATGTAGATCCTGCAGAAGAAAACTTTTATACGTAACTGATTAACCCTAACGTGTCGCACTCGGGATATTAGACTCAAAATCCATTATCAACACATTGCCAAGTCTCCGCACCACCAGTGGAGAGTGGAAGAGAGAGCTCGTTGCGTGACGAGACCAAATTAAAAATAAAAAGTTTAATCACTAAAATTAACTACCTCACTTGTATGTACCTTTGGGGATTGGCTCTAACAGTGCATCGCATGAATTGATCTTGAGGAGGAAACCTCGTAGCGCCCTTTCCGTGTGAAGTAAGGCATTGTCTGAGCTGAAAAGGAAAATGTACCCAAGATATGTTACATACGTGATAAGAATAACTAATGTGCAAAATAACTGTTGGCATTACTATGCAGACTCTCATTATTCGATGGTAACGTGTGCACGTTACCACATTCCGTTGTTTTAGACTCGCAAGTGTCTTTTTTCTCACTATATCGTTTTACATAATTTATTTTAAAAAAGCAATCTAGCCAATAGGACTTTTTCGTGTTCACACAGCCTCATCTTGAGACTAGAGACACAATTGAATTTTTTTAATACTCACACCTCCAACCCCCTCGTCTTAAGATCAGGCCACATGTGTAGTAGGTATACACGGAAATATTCTCTGTTGCTTCAATTGCGCACATAGACACCAAACCGCACATTGCTTTACTAAGTCATACTAAGGATGGACTTTGGCAAGGTTAATTCATGGGGCTATTAACAGGGCTCGACACTAACAGTAGCCAATTAGCCACAGACTAGTAGAAATTCAGTTTTGGCTAGTGTTTTTCGATTTCCACTAGCCAATTTGGCTAGTAAACAAACTGAAATTGTCGTAACATCTAAGATGTCACGGGCCATTTGGCTACTAATGCCCAATAGGCACTAAATCTCACTAGAATTTGGAAGCACACCAATTTCTTTATATTTATAAATCTATACTTTTTTTAATACAACAGAGGCAGAAACTAAGGGGATTGAAGGGGGGGGGGAAGGGGAGAGAGTACATGCATCACAGGCTCCCTGTGTAAATTATACAACTGTCAGATGCTAAATGCTCATTAGAATTATCACTCATTGATGATTTCAATGGCTTTTACTCAGTTCTATTTTTGTGTTTGTTAAAATCATTATAAATTAATGTTCTTTACACAAATTATAAAATCAGGAAAGAAATCATTGATGATGACTTTTTGCAATGAGCCAGAGTCAAGCATAGTGTATGCACAAGAGATAACAGGTTGAAATCTTGACAAAAGCATAAAGAGTTTTAGTTCATTATTAAAACAGCTGGAAGAAATGGAAAAGAGCCATTTCCTTTCCTATGATCATTTAAAAAATAATGTAATTACAATAAGAGTACATACTGACATACTGTAGTTGGTCAGTTATATAACTGAGCCAAGACTGACCTTGCAGTTGTATCAACTCCTTCTGGATTGCCGATCTCAAAAACAAATTTTTCAACAGGAGTGAACTTCTAAGACAGGGAAAATAAAGTAACTTGAGAACACAATAAATGTTTGATAAAAGAGAAAATACCACAGAAAATATAAAGCCTACATTTACCTCTTAATAGAGGTGTGTAAGGGAATTTACTACAAAGCTTTTAACTGGAATGAACTCCTAAGGCAGGGAAAATAAAGTAACTTGATAATGCAGTACAAGTTTGATAAAATAGAAAATACTACACAATACATATAGTTTATATTTACCACCTCCATTAAAGGTGCATATAGTAATTAACTACAACACTGCATTTTGAGATTCTTAAGAGCTACATGGACACTGCCTCATAAAACTTGCTTCAAATCTTCCAAATGGAAATCAGACTTGACTGCTCTCACCATGACAAGAGCTCAGTAGCATGGCCGCACATGCAAGACATTACAGAGTTCAAACCAAATGATAGGAAATAAAAGTGTGTTGTTCAAAAACAACAGCTATTTTAATGCCAATTAATGATCATGATTTTGTGGCCAGTGTTTTTATTAGAGTCAAACCTTGCTAACTTGAACTCCCAATGGAAACAAAAAATGGTTCAAGTAAGCAGGGCTTTAAGTTATTGGCCAGAGTTGATGTTGAATTTCAATCATCCTGTTAATAATTAATAAGGAATCATGTTTTTACCATTCTTGCACAATCAACAGTCATTTGCATACATTTAGTTAGTTTCATAAAGATCATCATATTGTTATCAATCACAATTAAAGATTAGACACATTAACCAGCTCTGTTCTGAAACTTTAACAATTATCAAATGACAATTAAACTTAAAGTTTGAATTAAAATGGTGAATTTCTCATCAAAAGGAAAGTAGAATTAGTTCCAGTTCACAACCAAGTTTGAGTTAGCTGATGGTAAATGACTGAAAAAATGGGGTCAAATCCAACAGAAATCTGTTCAAGTTTGCTGGGAGTTCAAGTTAACCAAGTTTGAGTTGGCAGTGGATTCTACTGTTCATTATTAACATAATAATTTATACTGTAACATTATCATAAAATTGCTGCTTTTATGGTAAAATGCTCATAAAAAAGACCCACTACATGTTCTCCATACATTAAAATGATCACAACAACATATTCAAAGATATCAAATATTTCTAAGAAAAATTATGTTTATGTCTTTTAAAAGCAAATTGATATTGATTTATCCAAGCTTATTAGCTGTTCCCTCATTTAAAATTTTTGGCACGTAATTCATAAGTTATGCACCAAATGGCATACTAGACAGTGTTTTCTGTGCAAAAGTGACTTACTTTGTCTGAAATCACTAAGGCAACTCTCTGAACTTCACCCTAGTATAAAAAGATAGCATGTAAGAGAAACAACAGCAAAAGAATTGGCAGCACTTTCAATAGCTTGCTCATGACTCAGAAATCTACAAGTGCCTGTAATTTAATTTACAATTTCAATAATAGGAGAACCAAATTCCAATTATAAGAAAACCATATGAATGGGCACCTTCTCTAATAAGGGCTTCATGGTGTGAAGCACATCTAAGATGTACTGGTTCAGATCTGGATGACAACACATCTGTGGAAAGAACACACAAATTCAAGCTGATACCAGAGGAAAAAAGATCATGTACAAATGAAAAACACAGGGGCCATGCATTTTTCACAACTGGTACCCTAGCTTTATTCATGAATGTTATTGGGGTCCAATATCTTCTTTCTGAGTATTTACATCCAAATAAGTGGCTGGGAAGTTAACAATATGACTGCATATTATAAAGACAAGAATCATCCATGTACCAATCCTGGTTCACAGACATTAACAGCTTCCCACGATAATTATATGTAAGTGGCAACAAGAGGTATTTTTCTGAAATCTAAACGATGGACAACAATTTGACACCTAACCTGTACAGGAACATTGTACTTTTTTCTTCTCTCAAATACAACAGCAGGATAGACTTCCCTCACATATAAGATGAGATGAAATGCTACTTCTAAGAACTCAGACAACACACCACCTGAAACTATTTCAACAAACTCTGTTTTAATTTATAATTGGGCAGTAACAGATTCTGACGAGAAAAAATAGATGAACTCTTTGAACCCTGAGAGCGACTAGCATCTGGTTTCTCTTTACAATATCACTTTTGAATCACACATAAAGGTCACAAGAATTAAAGAAATGATCACCATCTAAAGAGGCTCTTAACTGTTAAACAAATTTTCCTTGTCAGCACCTTAAGAAATGTCATTAGGGGATCATTTACTTCATTCTCGTGAACTAAATGCTTG